CAGAGACAACCTGCATCTCAGACTCAGTGAGGCAGGAGGGTGGGTGGGAGAGAGAACTTCTAGAGGGAACTGTGTCCAGTCTTATAAATAGGGGACCAACGTTTGCCACTGAGGAACGCTAAGACAACATGAAGGTAATGTAGGGGCCTGAGGGGAGGGAATGGGGCTGTGATGATGGGGGGGGGCTAACCTTGACTCCGTCTCTCTGTACAGCATTTCCCTCCCACTGTGATATAAATTGCTTTTAATGACCATCCATTGAAATCCAGGCACATATTTTATTTACTGCTCAGCTGACTCTGAGGCCTTCTGTGGGCACCGCTATTGCTCTGTGCCAGTGCTCCATTTGTAAACAGAGATATAATTGTCCTGATCCAGAACAGGGTGCCAGACAGGGATGCCAGCCTCCGGAATTACAGCTCATCTCCAGACTACAGAGATCAGTTCCCTTGGAGAAAATCGATGCTTTGGGGCAATGTTCCCTCTAAGCTGTGGAGTCTTGTGAGCAAAAATTCTACTATGTGAGCTACTGGCATGAAAGTTGTGAGCGAGCGATTTGGCTCCTGCATAAATTAGTTTGCTCTGGGGCTGTCCTTCCTGAGCTAAGACAAAAATGTATGAACTGGAGGCTAAAAAACGGTGAGCTAGCTCACACTAACTCAGCTTAGGGGGAACACTGCTTTGGAGGGTAGACTCTATGGCACTGTACCCTACAGAGTCTCCATCCCCAAATCTCCAGTAGTTTCTCAACCTGGATCTGGCAACTCTATCCCCCATCCCCTGCTGGTGGCCAGAAGGGAACTGGTAACACTAGATGGGCTTGGGTATTTTCTTGTTTATTATTAATGTTGTCATTTACATAGCACCAACTTCATGGTAGTTTGCAAACTGAGGAAAGTTGGGGGGGGGGGATGCCAGCTTCAAGGAGTGTCCAGTCTAAGGGGAAAGGACAGGGTGGAAGGGAGCAAAAATTACAGGAGCCAGGAGAGGAATGAGAGAGCAGGAACATGAATGCACACAAATGGAATTATGCATACAGTTCAATGCATCCCTTACTGGGAATGTGTTCTCCCTGGATCTTGGCTGTTGGTGGTTTTCACAGTCATCTCTGTTACCAGCTCTGGGTTGGAAGATTCCTGGAGACTTGTGGGTGGTATCTTGGGAGTGATGGTTTGGGGAGGGACCTCAGCGGGGTAAATGTCACACAGTTCACTCTCCAAAGTAGCCATTTTTTTCCCCAGAGGAACTGATTTGTGTAGTCTGGGAATCAGCAGAAATTCTGGGAAATCTCTTGGCCCCAGATAGAGGTTGGCAAGCTTATCTGGGGTTCCTCGGAAATTGTTCAAGCATTCCACAGTGTGAAAACCAAGAAAGGTCAATCTTCCTTGGAAAACAGAGCTTCCCCCTGTAATGTGAACTCCTGGTTGCACTCTAGAACTTGTTCTTGGATTGCAAGGAGGGGGGCAGTGAGGCGCAACTGGCCTAGAAGTAACTGGGCCCCTGAATGTATCCCAGAATCCTTTGCAACATTCAGGGGTTGTGTGACAGACATGCCAAGTTTTCATAACAGACTCATCTTGGTGGACTTCCTGCTCTAGGAAATGCTAAAGCTGTCAAATTGTGTGAGTTGAAACAGCAGATTTCAAAGGCACAGGTCAGAAAAAGAGACAGGGCAGCCATGTTTGTTTTGGGTGAGAGCTAGGCAAAATGCATGGTGAACCTAAGATGACTGAGGACCAGGGAACTTAAAAGGACTCTGTACTGCCACATACTCTTGTACAAGACCTGAAGTCATCTACTAAGGTCCTTCTCTACATGTGCTTGTATTCAGGTGGGTGACTAATAGCGACAGGGTCTTCTCTGCAGTGACTCCTGTTTCTGGAATCAGTTTGTTACCTGAGCCCTGGTTTTTATTTCTTTTAGGCACCTGATTTAATAATTTCTTCAAATATTGGGCAAGCTGTGTGGATTTTCCCCTTCTTTCTCCCCAGACCCTGACTTGATAGCATCTTTTATTCACTTTTTACCGATTAATTGTTCATAGGTTTATAACACACTGCTTTAGATTATTATATAGTTCCAATGTTTTTATATCTCTTGTATGCTGCTTTATGGCTGAGGGGAACACACATGCACATTTTCTAAAACAGTAAACACCAGATAGTTCAAAGTTAATTGCCATGTTTCTTAGTGAGTGAGAGCTGTCAGATCCTCACGGTAGCCAACAAGGAAAAAGCAACCTGAGTTACTCCTGTATCTTCAGTATTCTGCTTGACCTGCAGAAATCAAGGGAAATCTTTACCATTGCAGATTATGTTACTGTCAAAGGCAGAAGAGTAGAGACTGGTAAAAAAAATTAGCAACCCCCCCCCCCCATTAAGCTCTGGATATTTTGTGACTCTTTGCTATCCATATAGAACTGAAGATTCCGGTTCTTCAAATCCAGACAGCCTAACCTGCATGCTATGCAAATGGACTGTAAGCTATGCAAATGAAACCCATTCATTGTTGCTTTGTCTACCTGTCACTTGAAATCTGCTCTTGGCAACTGCCACCAAATGTGGGAGCCGTATGCTTCTGTGCGGATTTGCTTATGCTTTTCTTTTTGAATGACAGCGAAGCCTGTCCTGGAGGGGTGGAACAAGTTTGTCAATCACAGTGGTAACTCTCCTCAGTGTTGAGAATAATGGAAGACAGGTGCTGTCTTGTTTCTCATATTGGGCAGGATGCAGTCAGCCTCTTTTCTCTGGACCCCTAAGGGCTAGAAGCTTACTTTTTGACGTAAAATGAAAACTGTGAATCTGTCCAGCTAGTGGTCTGAGCAGATACCAATTGGTATGTCCAGAACCTAGAAACTTGGATCATATTATATCCTGGTCCCCAGGGGTCCTTTCGTAGAAAAAGAGGTGCAGGAGCTAATTAGCATAACTCATTAGCATAGCTTATTTGCATATGCCACACCCCCTGACATCGTCAGAAGTGTGTCAGAAGGCAACACCCACCGCTCAGGCTCCACTGGACTCTTTTGGATTGCTAGCTATGGGGAGGGGGAACGTGCAGATCTGTCTTCACAGAGGAGGGAGAGCTTGTACCTGAATAAAACTTGGTCTTAAGGGTGCCACTGGACTGTTTTGGGCCGGGGGGCCGGGGGGGGGGGAAGCTCTACAACTTACCTGGCTGCGTCTTGCTCTGACTGAGGGCTGCTGGGAGCAGGGGGTGGGGCTTGTTGCACGTGCCCGCCCCCTGGACTCTTTACTGCCAGAGCTCCACTCCAGCGCGCTCCTGCAGGAAATGACCCCTGCTGGTCCCCAAATATCTGTATCTTTTTTCCTTGTCTGATCTTGGATGTTGTGAAGCATGGCAGAGTGGAAAGCGGCATAATGTCCTGGAAAGCTGCCTTATAGGAGTCCCATTCAAACAAAGGGGAGTTGCACAATGTTCTATTCTACTCATTTATACCCTGCTTATCTCCCAGTGGGGACCCAAAACATCTTACAGCATGAGAGGCAGTGTAGTGTAGTGGTTAAAGAGTGGTGGACTCTAATTTGGTGAATTGGGTTGATTCCCCACTCTTCCACATGAAGCCTGCTCGGTGACCTTGGGCCAGACACTGTTCTCTCAGAACTCTGTCAGCCCCACCTATCTCACAAGGGGCCTGTCTTGGGGAGAGGAAGGGAAAGGTGACTGTAGGCCACTTTGAGACTCCTTAAGATAGAGAAAAGTGGGGTTTAAGAAATCACACACCCAATGCTCCCTCTAAGCTATGGAGTCCTGTGAGCAAAAATTCTACTTTGTGAGCTACTGGCATTAAAGTTGTGAGCAGATGATTTGGCTACTGCATAAATTAGTTTGCCGTGGAGCCATCCTTCCTGAGCTAAGACGAAAACGTGTGAGCCAGAGGCTAAAAAACTGTGAGCTAGCTCACACTAACTCAGCTTAGAGGGAACACTGCACACACCCCTTTTCCACACCTCTGTTTCAGTCTCACAAACACCCTGTGAGGTTCATTAAGCTGAGAGTGCGTAACTGGCCCAAGGACCCTCAGCAAGCTTCCAGAGCAGAGAGCACATTCAAACCTGGTCCTGTCCGATCTTAGTCTGATGCTCAAACCACGACATCACGATCCTGTCCCATTCACTTCAGTGGGGCTGGTGCAGGAGACTTCCCTGGTGGATCATGCCCCGTGCCAACATGGCTTTGTGGCCATTTAGATTTTCCACCTGAGGCATCCAAAATTCTTAGGGCCTGCCCTACATGAAGAAGACTGAAAATACTGACCATACGTTAATGGCAGAGATGACCCTTGAGGCATTTGGACAGTTCAGCTGGACCCTTCCACGAGTCCTCGGTGGAAAATTCTGTTACGTTGCAAATTGTCCTGCTGCTGATCTTCTAAGCTGGTCTCTGGGAGGGAACTCTGTCCTCAGGTTTTTCACTTGAGTGCCAGTGTCTGCTGTATTCCACAAACTGTGTTCCTTCTTTCAGGCCTCTCTGATTCTGCCAGGATCGCTGTTTCTCCTCCTCCTCCTTGTTCAGTTGCCCATTGCCCAAGGACAGGCTATCAGTGCCCAAGGTAGGTACCTCTGAATATGGAGTCTGCTAGGGCTCACTTGGTCAGATCTACGTGAGGCAGAGGTCATTTCGGGGGGTCGCGGGGGATCACAGTTCCCCCGGGTGAGGTATGGGGGGGCGGGGCACATGACGAAGCCCCGCCCCCTGCTTCCAGCCCTCATTCAGCCAAGAGGAGGCAGGAGAAGAGGGAGGGTAAGTTGCTTCCTCCCTGCCTCTCCCCACCTCTGCCTGCCTGGGGCCAGGGAGGGCCTTCGCGGGCAGGGGTCATTTCGTAGAAAAAGAGCTAGGGGGACTCATTAGCATAACTCATTAGCATATGCCACACCCCCTGACATCACCGGAAGTGTGTCCTCCCCACAGCCGGCGGCGACCTCCAGCGGGCACACCCCTGTTCGCGGGGCTTCCTTGCACTCCCGCCGGCCTTGCAGGTCCACCGCCGGGCCCCTCATGGGGCTCAGCAGTGGAGCTGCAAGGCCGGCGGCGGCAGCCGGGACCGTTGGGGGTGGTGTGTGTGGCCTTGTGACACGCTTCCGGTGATGTCAGGGTGTGTGGCCTTATGGCACACTTCCGGTGATGTCAGGGGGTGTGGCATATGCTAATGAGTTATGCTAATGAGTTCCCCTAGCTCTTTTTCTACGAAACGACCCCTGACGTGAGGAACATCTATTGCCATCATTTATGCTTAACATTACAAACGACAAAAGGGTGGGGAAGCAGATGTACGCTTTATGTATCTGATGACATTAGCTCTGACTCAAAAAAGCTTTTATTGGAATAGAACTGGCTAGTCCACATGGTGTCACTGGACCACTGTTTAATTTTGCTGTAAGAGATTAACATGGCAACTCTTCTGGATTCATACTTAACTGGTTGCTCAGGTCCAATGGATAGCCAGCCAATGGATAGCCTCATCACTTGCAGGGAGGGCTTCTTTTTCATCTTTAGAATTTGGAGGACTACCACTTTTGAGACGTTACACTGCTGTGGTTAAAAGAGTTCCCCCCCCAAGTACCTTCCAATGTGTGCAATGCTGACGTCATGGTTTTTGGTCCCATGCTGTTACTGCTGTGCAAAGAGAGGGGATGTATTTTCTTCTGAACTAAAGATGTTCCTTTAACAGGCACTGGTGACTGTTTAAAATTAGGGATGCTTTCCAAATTCTCATCCATGCTTTGCCCTGAAATTTGGAGTTGCAAGCTAGCTGTTTCTTGTTTTTGAAGTGGGAATGGGGCATTAGAAACTACACTACCCCCCCCCAAAAAAAACCTGGAGTTTTAATAATCCACATATGGCTGTTGTAGCTTTCAATTCCTCCGCTCAGTTCACTGAATTTAAAAGCATTTTCCCTCTCTGTGTCATCCGTGTGTGCATGCACATTGATAAAAGGCTGCATGTTTTGATAAAAGGCTGCATGTGGGAAATTGTGGGTTTTATAAAACTATGTTCAAGATTCTTTTTAGGAGGTGTTATATGAGGAACACATGTACTTATCAATGGAACACTGCACAACAGCATCTTGATGCAATCATTTTACGGTCACACCAGGGCTGTTTTTTGGTAGTGTTTTATCAGTGCAAGGAAAACATATGGAAACAAATAGAAGACTGTGAAAGCGTCAGCAAACGTTGCATGATCCATATTCCAGAATTAACTTCAGAAATTCTTCCAGCTAGATGGGAATTGCGGAATGTAGAACAGAGATAGTTTCCAGAAGAATAAATGAAATGAGGAAATCTGCATGCCAATTTAAAATGAACTTTGAGGGGGATTTGAAGGCTGGTGGTTACTGTCTACTCGACACAACAGATGGAGGCCAGACAGAAACAGAGCGGCAGCTGGAATGCATCCAACAAAATAAACAGTAATCTGTTCTTCTTTCTTAGCAGGCCGGTGAGAAGCTTGGGGGGAAGCCCTCCAAGGAGGGAATGGGGGGTCGCTCTTGCTTTTGGATGCTGCAGTAAAGACTAGCATTGTCCACAGGCATGCCTGCCTTCTCCCTGACTTGTATCTTTGCAAATGGATGTAATAAAACATCATGGCTGAGAGCCATTGCAAGCAGAAATCACTGAATGGATTGGGTCGAGGGCTGGGCAACCTTTTAGACCAAGTGCCCAAAGCCTGCTGGCAAAAAAGAGGGAAGGATTCTGGTTGGGCTTGGCCCAATGGACTGGGAGCAAGCCATAAGGGCACTGCCAGGGCCGCTGGGCGTGCCTTGGTCCTTTTAGCAGAGAACTAGCTCTGAGTGCTGAACAAGATGGTCGAGTGTGCTGCTGTTTGGCATGCTGGAGATTGCCTACCTGTGGTTTAAGCGCATCTAACTCTGTCCTGGGAAGTGGCCCATAAGACTTGGTTATGCTCTTCTTGTGAGGCAGCTACCCCTGAAACATCCTATTGTTTGGGGAAGCAGGAAGTGCCAAACAATAGGAATCAGCTAGCTGGGAGTTGAAGCTCAAGACATTTTACATTCTGCTTTAAAACAAACCTTTCTCCATTGGGGCAGCCCAGCCGCAACGTTGCGGAGAAGACGCCTTCCCGCTAGATTGTGACGACATCTATGAGCAAGGTTCGGTGGCAGATGGCGTGTACCTCATTTACCCAGCGGGACCCAATGCCCCTGTGCCCGTGTACTGTGATATGACCACTGACGATGGAAAATGGACGGTAATGTGCAAAGTGGGCGTGCATGTGTGTGGATCTCTTTCAGCGCAGCAGTCTGTTTCAGCATTCGCACCACGGTCCCATTGTGGCTCTTGAAAACACCGCAATGGATCCAGTGTTTGGACTGGGGTTAGAGAATTAAAATTCCCACATAGTCATTAGACTCACTGGGTGACTTTAAGGCCAGTTGCCATAGCCCTGTTCACATATTACAATCTACTTGCGTACATCAGGTCTGTACGTGTGTATGTATATTTATAAGAAAGAGCTAACACATGTTCACTTTACAAATAAAACCAGGGATCAGTACCTGGGTGAATTCGAGGTTTAAATCACAGGTTTAGCCACTGTACACAGATTGTACATGTGTTCACTGTGACATGTGAACAGGAGTCATGTCTCATTCTTATTGACCTCACACTGTTTCCATGAGGTTAAAACAAAGGTGGGGAGAGCCAGGTATTATCTAATACATTTGTATTCCACCTATCTTCCAAAGAGTTCAGGACACAATAACCCTGTGAGGATGACGGGACTGAGAAAGTGACTGTCCCATATCACCCAGCAGAAAAGAGTAAGAGTCCAGTAGCACCTTAAAGACTGACAACATTTGTGGTAGGATATGAGTTTCCGTGAGTCACTGCTCACTTCTTCAGATATTGAAGGTGACTCACAAAAGCTCTTACCCAACCACAAATTTTGCTAAGTCTTTAAGGTGCTACTGGACTCTTTCTCTTTTCTACTGCTACAGACAAACACGCCTACCCATCTTGAGCTATTTCATGCAGTGACCTTCTTTGTCATTTGAACCCAGATCTCTGAGCTCCTAGTCTGACATCCAAAGCCCTACATCCCATTTGGCTCTCTACAATACTTTTTTTTAGTTTGATTAATACAGACACAGGACTGTTCTGGGTGGCAGAACCCTGAACTGGGAAGAATTTACTGTCCCACATCAGAATGCAAAGGCAATGCGGTGCTGAACATTTCCTTACAGAAATAATTCCTCACTTCTTTTTTTTAAGTAACACATGGGAAGGTATCAGGAGAGGGGGAAATGGGTATGCTGTAATTCCCAATCTGCTGAAAGGGCCCACTGGATTTCATCGTGTGGCTCTAACAGATCTATATGAAATAGTCACTACCTGGGTGACTTTTATTGTTTATCGTTTTAATGATTTTAATGGGATTTGATGTAACGAGTCTTGGACTCAAGTTTCTTGGGATCCGCCCTGAGCCTGCTTTGGGGGAAATCTCTCAAAGTAAATAAAGAGCATGCCAACAGAAACATCTGCAGAAGGAGCAGAAAGAAAATGGGCCCCCAAAAGTCAGATGCGAAGAGGGCGGGTATAAAGATCATTCTCTCCATCATGCAAGGCGGGCATCTGATGTGGGCATGATTGGTCTCTTGTTGACACCCATAGTCTGTGATCCCAGAAAAGCTAACAGCTCAGTGGGAAAATTGCCTGGTCTCGGTGGAGAAAGCAGAGCCCAAGAAAAGCATGCCCTCTGTTGCCTTCTTCAGGCAACTCTACTATGGGGACATGTACTGTTGTGTGGCCTGTAGGCCAGTCTCCCAGTTCCTAATGGATGGAGCACTGGAGAAAGCAGCACCCGACTCTTTCACACCCTTTTTAGACCTTCTGATTGGTTTAAAAGGACTGCAACAGAGTCATGCTGTGTTCCGTCTAGCAATAGTCACAGTTAGAGGCGAGGAGAAATGAGAGCCACAATTAAAAGGGGGCAGAGTGACCATGATTTTGAGGGAGAAAAGTCTGTGGTAGAAGGACTTGTGCACAAAATGTGCCCAAGGGCCTATAAAAACCTGCAGGTGGCCCTGGGGTGTCGTGTATCTCTAAGGTTATTTGGGGACTTACAGTCTCGGTGTTGGCCAAAATGCACCTCGGGGTATCCACACACAAGACCATCTCTCCCTTCCTTTCTGTCATGATCAGATTTTCCAGAAACGCTTCAATGGTACCGTCAGTTTCTTTCGGGGTTGGAACGACTACAAGTTCGGCTTTGGCAGGGCAGATGGCGAATACTGGCTAGGTAAATATAAAGGGTGTACAACCCTCCTCCTTCCCTCCATGAGTAGGCCAATAATTCTGTGCTCAAGGGCCTTGTCTTTTCCCATACATTCTCTGGCTTGCCTCCCCCTCCCATTCCTCCAGCTCCGGACTCAGACATGTTTCTTTGCCAGAATCTGTTGGAACACCATCTGTTTGGGTTCCTTCCTCAAGCAACTAACACATGTTCCCTGGCCCAGACAATTCCGGCGCTAAGTGCGATTGTGTTTACAATGGTTATGGGCCAGGAGACGCAGCCAGGATCCCCCATGCTTGTCTGTTCTGCTCCGTCAGCAGACAGTAGATCAGACAGTCCACAGCTCCCAAGGGGAAGGACGCATGGGATGTTTGAGGGAGCTGCACACCTTAACAAATGCTATCCTATTTACCTCTCGGCCCAGGACTGCAAAATATCCACCTGCTGACCCTTAAGCACAAGTACGAGCTACGTGTGGAGCTGGAGGACTTTGAGAACAACACGGCCTTTGCCAAATATACAGAGTTTTCACTCTCACCCAATGCCATCAGCGCAGAGGAAGACGGGTACACGCTCCATGTGTCGGGCTTCACTGATGGGGGAGCAGGTGAGAGAGAGAGTCCTGGATTCTTAGTTCCCAGTTCTTCCCCTCTGTAATGAATTACTCCATTCTTCTCCCAGGGATGAGAGGATAGCTGCCTTCAAACACATGGCTCGAATGCCCAAATACTCCCTTCAATTTGGAGAGGGTCTAGAAGTGGCACCCGACACCGAGTTCCCAAAGAGAACCTCAGGGTTGGATCCAGCCAACTTTTCTACTGGCAAAAAAGGAAGGAGGGGTCCAGTTTAGCCACTCAAAAACGGAGTGTGGGAGCTGCATGAACAAAAGCCGTGTGGGCAGGTGGATGTAGTAAGGAGAAGTGATTGACACTCAGCTGAGTGGCTCCAACCCCAAAGGTTCAGGTTCTCAGTCATACATATACAACTACCAGCTCGTACTTCATACAAGGTTTGGTTTCACTTATGGACCATTTCTTAGATCGCCATCCTCCATCATGGCACTTGGGGCAACTACGATGCTTGTCAATGTATTTCATGGTGCCTGCTTGCTTCTTGGATCTTGGAGATAAAATTCAGAGCGGACACAGAACAAGAAAGCTTTGAGTTGCTCTCTGCCAGTTGACTCATCAGCAAAGCACTGAGCTCATCCTGGGAAGGTGTATTACAGCTGGCTTGGCCATAGATAAGAGACTTCCTTATGACTCTCTCTATCTCTCTCTAAAGCAACAAGCCAGTGCTACCTTTCTTTATTTCCTCGGTTCAGGAGATGCTTCAGAAAAGCCCCAGTGGCAGCACTTTTTTGCCTGTAAAAAGGTAAAGGTTCCCTTGCTTGAAAGCCAGTCGAATCTGACTCTAGGGTTGTGGTGCTCATCTCCGTTTCAAAGCCGAAGAGCCAGCGCTGTCTAAAGACGTTTCCGTGGTCATGTGGCCGGCATGACTAAACACCAAGGCGCACGGAACGCTGTTACCTTCCCACTGAAATGGTACCTATTTATCTACTTGCAATTTCTTGCTTTCAAACTGCTAGGTTGGCAGGAGGTGTTTTTTTTTTGCCTGTAGGGAGTGTCTATTCAGAACCAGATGCTTCCACTGCTGGACAATGCTTTGCATGGAACCTTGAAACATTTTGCGACTGGACCTGCCCTTCCATGGCAGACATTTTGGGCACTTTCACA